CCACCTCCGCCGCCGGCCGCCGGAAAATGTGCTCCGATCGGAAAATGGTTGGCATCATCGGATAGATCTCGTCAAGGTGAACCTACCCTTAAAATTTCATCCAAAAATTTCTACCAGAGGGCCTTCAATTTCGCGGTCAAAGTTTCCAGATCTAGGAAAATTTGGTCAAAATCGGACGCTCAAACGCATTTTCCCGGTAATCCGGGAGGGCTATGAAAAATCCGAGGGTACCACCGGAATCCTCTCGATGAGACGAATCTCCAGCTACCGGTATTCCCCGGAAACCGCTGCCCCCGCCGCCGTCCGCCGCCGCCTCCGTCGCCGGCCGACGGCCAAAGTCGTCTGATCTGAAAAATTCTTACATCGTCATGAAGCTCTCCTCATGCTCGTTCTACCCTTAGAGTTTGGTGCAAAAATTCCTCCGGGAAGTCCATCAATTTCCCGGTCAAAGTTTGTGGATCTAAGAACAAATTAGTCAAAATCCGTCCATCTCCTTCATTTTCCCATCAATTTCCGGCGAACCACTTTGAACGGAAGGCACCACCGGATTCTTCTCGTTGCGACGAGCAGACGGCTGGTCACTTTCGCCGGAACCAGCAACCTCGGCCGACGGCGTTTTTCCCGCGAGCTGTCGCTGTACTTGGACTCTATGCCCGATGACCAGGCGAGATCTCGAGCAGCCCAGGCCGTGTCTGCCGCCCCTCCACCAAGGCCTGTTTGCGAGCGGCCCAGAAGGTTCTCAGCGAGGCCCTTTACGCGTCCCAGAGGTAGTCCAAAAAGGCCCAATGAAGAAGCCCAATAGCGAATAACCTCAGCCCATTATCCCAGCGAGCGGGCCGCATCCGACCCGCGAAGCCCGATCCCCTCACAACCTCCAGCCCGCGGGAATCCGCTCCCAGCCCGCGCCCTGGCCCGCGTTTCGCCCTTGCCCTGGCCCGCGAAAAGCCCGTTCCAAGCCCAGCGTGCGGCCCACTTTTTCCAAGCCTCTAGCAGGCCCAATACCGCGGACCCAACATCCCTTGCGCGGCCCTTGGAGCACCCCTGCACGGCCCAGCTCGGCCCTTCAGCGCGCCAAGCCACTCCCAGTAGCCCAGACCGGTCTAGAGCGTCTGGCACAGGCCCAAACAGGCCCAGAAAACTACCAACTTGGTCCAATAGCCCCATTTTATGCCCAAAAAATATTCGGGATTATTAAACGCGAACGGTAAGGTAATTTAAGATATTATTCTCGCAACGGAGGTATGTGACTAATCTATACTTGGAGGCTTGAGGATTTAAATTGTCGAAAACGGGATAAATTATTTGATTTCAATTGAAAAATTTGGAAACTTGGAGGCTTGAGCATTTAAATTGGCAAAAATTAAGAGAGTATATTTGACTTATTGGAGGAGAATTGTTTTATATGCTCGAGGTGCTATTTGATTTATTCATGGATATTATTTGATTTGGTATTTTCGTGGAGGATTATGTGATTTACTCGTGGATATTACTTGGTTTGTTCGAGGAGAATTGTGCGTTTTATTCGAGGAGTATTATTTGACTTATTTGTGGAATTATTTAATTTATTCGAGGAGACTATTTGATTCATGCATGGAGGATTATTTGATTTGCTCGAGCGATTATCGGATTTATTTGTGGATGATTGCTTGACTTAATCGAGGAGATTATTTGATTTATTCGAGGAATATATTTGACTTATGCGTGGAGGATTATCTGATTTGCTTGAATGATAATCGAATTTATTTGTGGATGATTATGTAATTTGCTCGAGCGATTATGCGATTTATTCATGGACATATTTGAATTTCTGTCGAGGAAATGACGAAATGATCCAAGTCTCGACAAGC